AATTGGAAAATATTCATTTATTTAAGTTGGACAATTTGATGCTTTCATTTTTTAAGTACACTTGTATTAACTTTCGAAATTATTTGTAGGACCCCTGAAAGATCACATCTATCTCCACTTGAATCACTTACCCCCAGATGTGCTCAAGGAGAGACTTCCCGGAATTTCTGAAACTGCTGCTATTTTTGCTGGTGTGGATGTTACAAAGGAACCCATTCCTGTTCTGCCAACTGTACATTACAACATGGGCGGCATTCCCACAAACCATTATGGAGAGGTATAGATAGTTATACATGTAGTTTGAAATGAGACCATTGAAGGATTAAAAAATATATGAAGTAATGAAAAGGAGAACAAAAATCTAAGATAATTAATCATACTTTAACCCTTGATTTTAAAGGGAGAGGAAGAGATTCTGCATCATGTAAGTACTGTTTAAATCACTCAATTTCACTTGAGCAATCCCACCATATCTCCCTCAATCTCTTAGACTCTAAATAGACACGGGAAACTATTTCGTGGGCATAGCGTAAATGGGTGCTACTCCGGAAGAACTAATTCCAATGAAAATGCATTTAACATGCAAAGAATGAACCCTTTTAATATTCGATAAATAAACTGCACCATTTTCTCACATTGTTTACTTCTACTGATTATTTAACATGTGAAGAATGAACGCTTTTAACATTGTTTACTTCTATGCTTACTTTTATCCAATCTCCATTCTTTTGTCCTTCATTTAGCTCTTCTCATACTATCAAAAGCACGCGCAGCCCGACTAATAATTGTTTGGGTTACGTTTTGGCAACATAAATATTAATATCGATCATTTCATTTTGAGCTGTATCTTTTAGTAATTATCTAATTATAATTTAATATTATTTTGTTTTGCAGGTGGTTACCATTAAAGGTGATAATCCAGATGCAGTGGTTCCTGGATTGATGGCTGCCGGTGAAACAGCCTGTGCATCAGTCCATGGTGCCAATAGGCTTGGTGCAAATTCACTTCTGGATATTGTTGTTTTTGGTAGAGCTTGTGCAAATAGAGTTGCAGAAATCCATAGACCAGGCAAAATTCGTTCCCTGGTATTGAAATAGATTGTACACACTGAACTGAAATTAGTATCATAACAGTGTCTGTCATCCATTTTGCAGGAGAGAAACAAAAGCCTTTAGAGAAGGATGCTGGTCAGAGAACAATTGCATGGCTGGACAAATTGAGAAATTCAAATGGTTCGTTGCCAACTTCAAAAATTCGGTTGAATATGCAAAGAGTAATGCAAAGCAATGCTGCTGTGTTCCGTACACAAGAAACATTAGAAGAAGGTAGTCCATTGCTGGTTATCCATATTTTATCCTCCTGACAAATACCTTTTTTTTTCCCAACAAGGTGTGTGTTTAATTCTTGATGATTCCATAACTATCTTATTACTCTGAACTTATCTGGTGCATTACAGGTTGTCAATTAATTGATAAAACGTGGGAGAGCTTCGGTGATGTTAAGGTCGAGGACCGCGATTTAATATGGTAATTCCTTTTTAGCAAATGATGAATATTCCTGATATTTCATGGATTCTGGTTGTTCAGTTTTAAAGTTTATCGGCTATAAATATTCACAGGAACTCCGACTTGATTGAGACTATTGAGTTAGAAAATCTTTTGATAAATGCTTGCATCACAATGTACTCTGCTGAAGCTAGGAAAGAGAGTAGAGGAGCTCATGCCCGGGAAGACTTCAAGGTCAGTTCTCTATCACTCATGCAAATTTCATACCATTGACATGAATAGTGCACTTAACTATATTATGTTGGATTCTTCAGGTTAGAGATGATGAGAACTGGATGAAACACAGTGTGGGGTAAGTCATGTTTCATGCAGTTATTTGGTTTGCTATTAACAAAAGCAGTCACTTGTAGAGATAGAAATGAAATTATGTCTCCATTTTGTGTTGTTTTTCATTTGTTTTAGAACGACTAAGTAGGCGTGATTGAACCAGATTTGGCCCAACCAAATTTCTGGGATTGGCTGGGCCTGAGTAGGTGCTATTGCATAGAACATAATATTGAGACTGAGCAAGTGGATCAGATGGATTGTAAGAACTATTCTTAAATTTGTAAGAACTCCCTTTGAAATGCTCGGTGCAAGTTGCAACTGCATTCATGTAGCCTAACATGTTAATGGGAACGATCCATTTCCTTGATCCTCAAACAAAGCATGTTCTTGCTGTCTTTGAGCCTTTTGTTTCTTGAGAGCTGGAGTGCTCTCAACTCTTGCACATCGTTCGAACATCCAAGTCGCTCATTAAGTTAGCAAACTTGTGACTGGGAGGATATTGTCAATATCTCGTGTTTGTATTATATTATAAGGTTAAAGGTCTAATTAGTGATTTAGTCCCTCCAACTGATTCTTGGCTCCTTGCTTGAAGTTCTTTAGTAACAGTGTAGTTTTTTTTATTAATATGCAGTCTTAGTAATCACTCCTAAATTTTGAAGTGGTGAGAGAAACCGAAAGTTGAGCATGCTCCCGGTTTGGGTAGCAAATTACTTTTATTGTATCTGATAAGTGATCTTTTACTCAATGCTAGTTAATTTAATGATGTAAGAATAGAGAAGTTGGAAACCTTAGAGCAATCATTTGATGTGAGGGGGAGATATTGTGGTTATTATTGAATCCTGAATTCTGACCATAAGCATGATATTGTCAAGAGACCAATTATTCGAAATTAAGATGGAGTCGGAGATGATCAATAACCCTATCATGTCGTCCTTTCAAGTAAGAGCTGTCAGCATGAAATACAGATGAAAAGGATCCATGTTTTTACCACTATTAAGGGTTGATTAATTGATTAGCCAGCTATTCTAAAACATTTTGTAGGTCGAGAAGCTTGTGCAATAAATTGTATATGTTAAGGCTAAGCTTGTGCATTTATTTGCAGATACTGGGAGAACGAGAAGGTCCGGTTGGACTACAGGCCAGTGCATTTGAATACATTGGATGATGAGGTTGAATCATTCCCACCCAAGGCTCGTGTGTATTAATATCCTTCCTAATTGACGGCTTCGACGTGTCGTCTCAATGTTAAATTACAGGAAAAAAAAGCAATAAAATGTCCTAGATGGTTGATTTGATGATAATTGTTTCATTCATCATCAATGTTGATTGATATCCCTGGCATTCACAAATAACACACTGCATTTGCAGCAAAGAATAGTAGCAGAACGATATATATAACTGTCTGCATTTTGACAAGTTTTTTAGAATTTCACATCTTCAAGTTTGTAATTTTCTGAATTTCTTGTTTATTCCAAGTCTGGTTATCTATAACAGCAGTGGACGGAAAAGGAATAAAATGGCTTTTCAAACTCATGTCTGCAAGTCTCCTATTTGTTCCAGCTGTTATGCGCAATTGTTCGAGCAAAAGAAACTGCTTCTCGGCAAGTTGTTTGAAGATGAGAAATTATTAAATGTGAAACATATTTTTGTAGAACTAAATTAAGTCTTTATCTGTTTTAATACAGTAGAACCAACTTGGTCATAGTCATCATCGCGCTTTATATTTGTATTTAAATATATTGTCACTAAAATCATGACTTATCATCCAATTTGAACCATAACCGTGAACCAATCTCATTTATATTTAGCTGCGGAATGGCCAAATCTCCTAAATTTTTACTGGCTCCTCTTGATTATTATTAAAGTATTATAAAGAAATAGAAGAAATCGAGTTATGCAGTCTGATGAAGACAGAGGATCGTTGGAAATTCTGGATGTCTCAATTCAGGAGTCTTATGACATTTAGATAAATTTTGAAATAACTCACTTCAAAATCCGTTAATCGAAAGACCAAATCAAAAGACAAAATCCATAGATAGACAAGAGCGTAAATTTAATCATTATTGAGTTGTTTTAATAATATAAAATATTAATACTAATGAATTTCTAATTTCATTATAATCGTGTTGTATAAATTAAGAAAGACTGAAACTTCTTTTAGCTGTTAAGATTAAATTTCAACCTCAACATTATTTGGATTATTCGAAATTTAGATTCATATGCTGTCAATTTGATTTAATGCTGTAAATAAAATGTATACAAATATTTTGATTTTTAATTTTAATAACAAAATTAAAATAGTAAAAACAAAAAGATGTTTTTTTGCTTTCATCATTGGATTTTAAAATTCCAATGTACATTAAAGTTTTTAATTTTACATTTCAAAATTGTATTTCCAATTAAATTTCCAAATAAAGTTTTATTTTTTATAGTTTATATAATATAATGTAAAGTTTAAATACTAATTTTTTATGCTTTTATTCAATTTATGTATAATGTTTTTGAAATACGAAACTTGAAGGTCTAAATAAATTTTTTAGAATTTAAAAATAAAATAATGATAATAATATATACAACGGTGAGTTTCTTCTATTCAAAACAAATATGCGTTGTGATTATTTCATATGAAAAATAATAATAAATTATCCAATACAATATTTTATACAAAATGACAACATAATATGAAATGTTAAAAAATATAACATCTCATTATTCCTTTTTAATATATTTTATATTTTAAAAATTTACTAACTTATAAAATATTGCATTTTACATAATTATATACGAAATGTAAATACTCAATAAAATTTTAATTTAAAAAATAAATACATTTAAAGTTATATATATATATATATATATATATATATATATATATATATATATATATGTGTGTGTGTGTGTGTGTGTGTAAAATGAGTTTTGATCTTGCGTTTAAATTAGCTAATAATAACATTATAAGCTATATGATTTGTTTTATATATTCAATAACATTTGCCCCATGATTCTTCTATGGCTTGTCCATTCTTGAGAACAAAGATAAGACAATATGTATAATACAACAGATATGTTTGTGTGTTAAAATTCAAAAAAACGCATGAAAATGAATATCAACAGCAACGATATCACACCATGTTACATGCATAAACCCCTGCTCGTATATAACCTGATCAAGCGTTGGCACTGGGCTGGTGCCTCGCTTTTTCCTTCTCCTTCACCGCACTTCCCTGCGTCTTGTCATAATCTTCATGCATATACATACCAAACAAAAGAAGCCAATAGTTAAGACAAACAAAACACAAAAAGCAATTCTTTTTTTATGTTTGATGAGGAAATTAAACCTGGGTGATTTTCATGTATGTCCCTCTCAGTCTTAGGGATGGATTGGTTTCCACTATAAATTCCGCCAAACCCTTCTTCATCACACCTCGTAGCGTACCCTTCCCCAAACGAATGGGACATCACATCTCTTCACAACAGTAATCAATAATAACTCATACCAGTATATACAGAATCAAGAACTTATTGATTATCATTCACTTCTAATCACATGGTTATTAATTACTTTTAAGATCATTATCTACAATATACTGTGACTTAATTATTATGATTATCTAACTAGAAAAGTGTTAATTATAGAATCAGATATGTTATTTGAACTCACCCATGTGTAGTTTCCTCGCTAGGTTCCTGATTCTTGTCCATCTTATGAGCAGTACTGTTGCTATCAGGTTTGGTGCAGAATAATCTTACTGGTGAAGCTTCCCGACCAAGGTTTGCAGAGAGAGAGCGTGGGAATGAAACTTGGGGATTGGTTAAAACCGTTTTGATTGAGTGAAGCATAGCTTTTTCTATTTTGAGATGGAGGATATCTAATTGCAGAGACTGTGTGGTAGTCCTGTACTTTCGAACACAGGATGAATCCTGCACAATGCTAATCCTATTAATCCTCTGCTGCACTTAATTTGGTACACATGGTTAAGCAAAATGAAAATATAAAGTACTTTCATCGCATGACATGTGGTGTGTATTGGACGCTTGTCCTTCACATAAACCCTCACGTGTCATGTTGAGGGTGTTGAGCTTTTTGCATGCAGAGAACTATTTCAGTTCTACTTTGGTTCCAGGACTGCGTCATTATGGAACAACTGAACATACGCCACGTCTCCATGAGGTAGAACCTGTACCTGTGAAAGATATATAATATTCTATTCTATAGTATTCTTCTTTCTTTATATGCATTTTTTTCTTTTTCACCTCTCTACCTTCTGAGCTCGGTGTACCTGCTAGTGTATACGGAACATAATTTCTATTTAAGGATTAAGGAATACAAGATAATGTGACACTCTGTTATTTAAAGCTTCCATAGTATTTCTGAGTTAGTATTTATGTTCTCAAACAAAATATTAAAATATCTAGCTAGAAGAGATTGGGTCAAATATTTAGTGGATTAAATTAAAATTCTCTTATATGTTAAATCAACTTATATTTTATTTTAATTTGCTTGGGTTTTTATTTTTCAAGATTTGGAATGAACCTCATTTTAATATTCCAATTTTTAGAAGAATAATTTTAATCTCTCAATTATACTACTGAGAAAATAAAATATTTTAAAAATCATTATTTTATATTCTAAAATTTAGTGTTTAGAGATGAAAAACGTGAATTTTTTTAATAATGTTAAAAGATTGAAATAGCTTTATGAAGTTAAATTTGGATTTATCTCAAATTTTAAGGACTCAAATATAATTAAGCTTTTCAAATTTTATATAATTTTTTTTAGTTAACTGCTTCGAAAATTAATGTGCATAGTTTATTTTAATAAAAATAATATTTTACGTATTTTTTCTTACACTTATATTAAAAATATGTAAACAAAAGACTTCTGATCCAAAGGACATAAAATCTCCAAACCTTAATATTTTACCCTCTAATTTAAATGAAGATGATGCATACTTTCTGAGCCTTGATGCATAAGTTCAATAAAACTGTTACAGTCCACCCGAGCATATCCAAAATTAAACTGTTGCATGGAAACGATCAATGGAGAGTTTTTCAAACGTTTGAAACGAGTTTTTAAAAATAAAATACATTATTTTTAATATAAATTTTATACTAAAAATACTTAAAATAGATTAAAGATGCTTAAAATAATTAGAATTATTTATTTAAATAGCTATAAGCTATTTTAAACAATTATGCATATAAATTAATATATTTTATTTTGAAAAACTTCTCAACAAAATTCTACTATAAAATCTCCAACTCTTCAAGGAGATAAAAATAATTCTACACTCTCAAGAGGAAAAAAAAGATTTTATATTTAATTTTTATATTTCTATATATTGTAATATATATATATATATATATATATATATATATATATATATATATATATATATTACAAGGGTTGTATATTATATAGAATCTAAAACATTAAGATAATAAGTTTGTGTAATTTTTTTACTTATATTTAACTTACACATTTTTAAATAGTGAGATTTCAGCAGTTTCTAAATAGTGAAATCTTAATATAATAATAGTTGTTTATTTTTACGATATATGAATTAAAATATCATAAGTGGCTTAAAGTTTATATATTAAATATAAATCAAAAGAATTATAAATTTAGGTAAAGAGACTAGATGAAAATATAAAAAATAATTTTAAATGAAAAAAAAGAATAACAAGAGAAGTATGTATTACTTTATTTGATTTTATTTTGCCGCACACAAAATTATTACAAACGCCATGTTCAAATAAAATGATTATATTTTGTGATATTCAAACCCTGAATGAAAATAAATCATTTATTTTTGTAGACTCATTCAATAATTTGATAATTTCGTTATAATGTTAGTCGTACACTGTGTTATATAATATGAGAAAAATGAAATTATTTAAATAATCTAACTTGTTATTAAAATGAAATTCACTTAATAATAAAGATTAAGATTTAAATAAGTTTTGTTTAACTTTTATCTTTATTTTTATATTTTTAATACATAATATTTAAGGAATAAGTTAACTAGAATCGAAATTATTACGTTATTGATAGTGCTAACATGAAATTATTCTTTACAGATATTATAAGCAAGTTAAATATAACAATATCAAAACTAGTATGTCTATCGATATAAAAAAAAAAACTCTGAACAATATAAAAATATGGAATGTTTTAATTCAGTAGCATGTATTTTGGAACTAGATAAATGAACAAGCAAACGCGAGTAGGTAAATTTTCTTATCGGTCTATAAACAATATTATATAATATAATAATATCTATTATTAAATATGATTATAAACTGTGAATATTATTAACAGGTGCTCTAAGGGTCTAATTAACAGATACAAAAACATGCTTCGAGAATGATGAAAATATTGTTGGGACCTAAATTTAAATTTTTGTTGAAATTCGAAATTTCAAGAGCTTTCAATTTGAAATGCATATGCAACAGCCTCGTCGTAAAGCAGAACCATGGAAGTCTTGAAAAACCCTAGAGCATAATGGAGAGAGTTATTTTCTAACAATTTTTTAAAACTGAGTACTTTTTTTGTTATGATGAAAATATAAAGGGTATGATGTATTTCATCTATTAAAAATAGACAAAAAACTAGGATGTGGTTAGGGAAGGAAGAATATTGCAATGAAGTAGGGAGCAACATTCTTCCCTTACATACAAGAAAAAACAAGATTCTTAGGTTGCACGTTGGTGAATTTATAAAGGTAGAACACAATATATACAGATAAGAGGGAAACTCAATATTAGTTATCAATTAAATATGTCTTTTTATTTTTATGATACTTTATTTTATATTTGACAACTCCGTATAATTTTTAAATAATTATGGTTTTTATAATTTTAGTTCATAGTTATATTTTTTAGTATTATAAAATTGTAAATTTGCGACATTAGTTTCATATAGAAGATTCAGTCACTCCTATAGACTTGCTGCTAATAGGTGATTAGTTAACATGTCATATATTCAGGATTAACTAATGTATAATTCAAAATTAATATATTTTAACTATGAAAAATGGAAAAGATTTTAGCAGAGTTACCTTCTGCAAACAAACTCCTCTGCCTGAGACTGAAAACACAAGAGTATAGTTCATGATATTTTTGAAATATAATCTTTTAAGATGTCAGTTTAAAATAAATATATAAGAAAAAACAAGTTTATTAGATGTCCCTTTAAAATAAATATATAAGAAAAAACAAGTTTATTAGATGTCCCTTTAAAATAAATATATATTTCATTCTATATTATAATTTCATGTTAACACTGTTATAAAGTTTGGTTGTAATTGGTATTGTTACTTGTTTACAAAAACTGTGATTCAAAATTACATTGCAAAGAAGAGAGACAATACAAAAATTATTATGGTTGCAGATCCAAAATTGAAAATTTTAACAAATATTATTTAATAATTTTGTTTTTTTTAGAATTATATATATGCTTTTAAATTATTATATATATATATATATTTTTTTTTTTCTTAAACATTATTCACCATTGTTTTTAATTTTTGTTTAGTACTAGTTTAATTTAACCAAAAGATAAATGAAGGTTGATAAAATATTATTTTTCATCTCAAATCTTACATATACATTATCTTTTTAATTTTAAAGAAAATTACTTATAATTTTAAAGAAAAAAAAACTGATTTTCAGAAGTAGGAATGAAAATTATACAAACACGTTAATCAGGTAAATAATTAATAATTCTTAAAACGAGTCAACAAAATACAATTTACTATTTAATTTATTTAGGACGTAGGGATAACGCTATGTGATGCGACAATGTTCGTGAAGACCACGCAACTTTGAACAGTTGGAAGCCAGCGCGTCATTGCCGCCCTTAAACACCAAACCGCCATTACGCAACTTTCTTTTACAAAATTACCCCTCCATTATTGTAAAGAGACAGATAACAAACAACTTTCCCCCACCGATAAATGAGCCGCACCTAACAGTACACGTCACCAAATCCTCACCGTTAACACAACCAATCTCAACCGTCCGTTCCCAAAATCCCATTATAAAAGAAAGCTTAGGTTCCCTTCCTCTCATTCTGCGTAGCCCAGCCTTTCAGATTATGGTCCTTTTACTTTTTCGCCATACCTCTCTATGAATTCATATTTATTGTTTTCTTTACCTCTGATGCTCCTTTGGTGTCCGGATCTGTATGGATCTGATCCAGATCTATTCGCCGATCGTTGTTTTGGTCGGGTACGACCATCCTTCCGATGTTGCTCCGATTAGGTTTGATCTATCGTAATTAGTATCTTGATTCTGTTATAATTTATATCTCAGATCTTTCATAGATCTGATGCCTGGAGGCTCAGATCTGCGATGCAGAGGTGTGCGCTTCATGTCCGTCTTGCTTTAGGAATCTATTTTGTAGAAAGTCCTTCGGTCTTTGCATATGCCAAGCCTCTTGAGGTTTCTTTTGCAGGTACATAAGGTAATCCATGAGAAGAACGCAGATTCAACTCTTGAACGATAGATAGATAGATCCAGCCGCGCTGATGCATTTTTAGATGACTATTGGATTATTTCAGAAGCCGTGCGTCCTCCTAAAGCTGTGTATGTTGCAGATCTCGGATGTTGTTGTAAAATTATTGTAAGATGTGAAGCTGTGAGGTGGAAAGTATGTGGATGTAGGAGATTTCGGGACCAAAGGCCTCTAAATGATTAGTCATTTGGGGTTGGTAGTCCTGAGTGATCTTGTCATCCGACCTTTGCCATGTCAGGTGCGCTTGCTTGGCAGGTCAAACAAATTTTAATAAAAAAAGTTTTGTTGGTTTTGGGAGAGATCGCACGGGAGTTGCCCGGGGTCTCTCCCTCGTGTGGTGTGTGCTCTGCTCTCTTTCGTTATCTTTTATTATTACCTTTCTGTCTCTCCGCTCCGTTTTACGTCTCTACATCAGTGGGATTCATCAGAGGATTCGCTCCAACTATAAGGTATTATTTATCAATTTACATTCGACAGGATTCGATCTTTTGCATTTCACTTAATTACAGAAAAACAAACCTAGATTTGATTTTGATTAAGTACCGCTTAAGGTGCAGCAGAACAATGATAACGGTAGTTTTTAGACTTAATTTTCATTAATTTGCTTTAAAAATTTGGTAATATGAATAATATCAATCTGAACATTTCGTAATGTTGTTGGCAGAAAAGGCTAGGTGGAGTTCATCGTTAGTTACGTTCTGAAAGGTAAAATTGGGTCTGATGTTTATCTAATATTATCCATTAAAATATTTTTATTAAACCAAAGCTATTCGGTTCTATTAACATTGATTTCATGTCTTATAAAGACAAATCTGTCATCTTGCATCACATTTTAATTGAAACAACGCCGCAGTAGTACTGTGTTTCCTATGATGTATTGTTTTTCTATTAGAAGTTGATTAATCTGGTGACGTCAAGTAAAGATTGATCATTTGTATTACCGATTTTGTACCATTTGTTTGTACATTTGTTTACCTGTAAGCTGCGGCAGTCAACGTTTGTAATGCAGAAATAGGTTATAATTGAAGCGTGTGTTTGAGAATGTTGCATTGTAATGCTTTGCTAAATGGATCTTGGCGATCACCTGAGTACCGTTTTTCAAATATGCGAAGACGGTATATTGCTTCCGATGGACAAGATCACGGTGCGAGAGATGGCATACTGAACGAAATTCAAGATTTTGATTTTAGACTTCTAATTTTAAGGTGAAGATTACTTCGGTCCTTTACACACGCAAAGTTTATATTTAATTTTTTAAATTTTCGGTTTATATGTTATAATTTAGTTCCGAAGTTGTTGATTAGTATGTCGTCTATTTATTTTAGCGAAGACATTCGGTAAAAATTTATACTCGGGCATATAAGATAGTAATGTCTTGGTTCACTAAACCCTAAACCTATATATTGTCTATTCATTATGCTGTGTGTAATCGTAGTTTTTTCAAAGTTAATTATTCAGATATTTTATTACATTACTGTTGATCGTTTATTAATATCATTGTGGCTGTTGTATGGAAAATGGTTGCGTTAGTTTATGTTATTCTGAACTTGCAATTTGCGTTCAACTTAATACAACACAGTAAGCACTATCTGCGAATTGAATTGTTATATTTTTTCGCAAGTTCAGTATTCTGCAATGATTTACAAGCTATAGTTGGCTATTGTGCAAGTTCTGTTGTCAATGTAGCTACAGTTGGATACTTTACATGATTTTAACATTTTCTTATCCTTTTCATAAGAATGCCAAGAAAAAACTGAAACCGTATGCAAGATATTTGCTGGTATTCAGGAAGAAGTTATTTCTCATATTTGTTAGAATGTATATTACCTGATTTTTTTGAGAATCTAATGTTGTAAATAATATGGTCAAGGTTTAATTTACAGTATTCATCATGTTTGAAAAATTGAGCCCTACGTCGTTTTGCTGACATAGTCTTAAGTTGTGGTAAAAGAGCTAAATTAGTATTATAGTTGTTATTCGGTGTTAATTTTAAAATGTAAGTAATGCTACGTATTGAAAATTTATAATTATATGGGATTAACATTATTATATCCAGAAATATTTATCAGCCGGTATCTATTTCTTTCAGTAATTTTCTTTAATTTTTTTATTTGGAAACATTTAACATTACATGATTACTATATCTAGTTTCATTTTATTTATTTACACCTGTTATAGCAGTATTATCTTTATTTGCAAAGTTACAGTCTTTTATATATTATTTAATAGTGATGTTATTCTTATAGGCAAAGTAAATAAAGGTATATATCGTCGAATATGTAAATATAAGATCCATTAGGAAGGTCGCTTGTTAATTTTTTGAATGATAGATCTGTAAGCTCAAAACGGTAGAGCGATCAGAGCATGTTGATGTTCTGGTAGGATGGTGGTTCGAATCCACCCTGATCTGCTAAATGTTTAAAAAAATTAAACTTTTTATATTAAGTTAATTTAAATATTTTATTCAGTTGTATAAATTACGTGTGTAGTCAAGAAAATTAAACATTTTATACTAAGTTAATTTTAATATTATATTCAGTTGTATATTTTATGTGTGTAGTTAAGAAAATGTAAACCTTGAAGAATTAAAAATATGATAGATTGATTTTATATTATGGGTTTTAAAGGTAATATGCCTCGTAAAAAATTAGATTTAATCTAATTATATAAGTGATTTCAAAGAAACACAAGAAATGCACTTCTTAATTAAAGAATGAATGTATAATGGCTTAAAAAATATAACAAGAAAATAATTTCCCTTACGGGAATTTTAATTTCTTGATTTGTTTATTTTTTGAATGTAAGGTTATAGTATTTTTGTTTTTCATAAAACAATGTTGAATACATTTATTTTAAAATTACAATTTGAAATTTAATTTTTTGTTATGATATAATTAAAATGAATTTAATTTTTTTACTAATTTTGTGAGAATTACTACAGAATTTTAATTTATCTTACAAAGTTGAAAATTTCAAAGTTCTGTTTTAAAAAAAATTTAATTAAAACTTGTTTGATAATTTTTTATTTTAGTTTTAAAAATCGAAAGATAAAATGATAATTTTATATTATAAACTTATCATAATTATTTTTTAATTTTATCATAATTTTTTGTGATTATTTATATTATTTTTTAAACTAATTTTAAAAATATTTTTTAAAATTATAAAAATTGAATCAAATAAACTTTCGCTTACTCCCATGGGGGTTTCATTCATCTCTCAGGTGGTATCTCTCGTTTACCTTCAAATGGACACAATTTTTCTTTACTTTCTAATGTAGCAATCTAAGGAATGGCTATGGTACATAACTTTCATTTGTCTATTCTTTAACTAGATCGAGGAATGGATTTAAGGGAGAAGAAACAAATTGTAGAAAGTGATATTGTTGGAAACAAATTTTCTTTACTTTCTAATATAGCAATCTAAGGAATGGTTATGCACTTAATTTTCATTTGTCTATTTTAATTAGTAGAAATAAAAATTAAACTTGTCCACGTACGATCCAGTTTGATGGGAGTTAATTGAGGGTGGGGCGGGTCGCACTGGGTGGGGGCAAGAGGGAAGGTTGCTTTAAAAAGTTGAGAAGGAAAAAAAGGGTAATATGACCGATTCTTACTTTATATTTAAATTTTAAAATATTAATATTTTAAAATTATTATAAGATAATTTTTTTATATTTTATTATTTTTATTTTTTTCTATTCTCTTTTTATTTTTTTATCTTTTATATCAATTAATTTATTACATTATTCTCTTACTTTTTTGTTTTTTATATTTTTTTAATTTCTCTCATCAATTTTTTTTTATTTTTTCAACCAATTTAATGAACATAAAGTTAATTTTTTTCTTTATCTTTTTATAAATATTTTATATAAATTTTAGTAATAACTAATATTATTTTATTTATAATTTATATTTATTAAGTTTTATTATGTCATAATTTTTTTATTCTTATTTATCATATATTAAATTTTATCTTAATAAAATAATTATATTTTAAAATATTAAAGAATTAATAATTTAAATTTTTATTACTTCGAATTAATTAAATATCTTTTTATAAACTATATATTTTATATTTTTAAATGACAACTTAAAAATGAATTAACTTATATATATAATCAAATATTTGAATACAGTATTATAATAATAATAATGTTATAAAATATTATAATAATAATAATAATAATATAAAATATTATAATAATAATAATAATAATGTTATAAACATTCTCTATATATAATAATTAAATATTTCTTTTACATACATATTTTAATATAAATATAATAAATTAAAAAATATATATTTAATTAATAATAATTTTAAATTATAAAATTATAAATATTTATTTATATATAAAAATTATATAGTAAAATTAATTTATTATAAATGTAATTATCTTTTTAAAAATAATATAAGTTAGGGATGAAGGCGGGGATGGGGTGGGAAACCCGAAATCGAGCGGGGACGAGGATGTTGACTTAATTTCTAACTCGACGAGAATCGAAAACAGGAACGAGAATTGTTAAAAAATCGGGAGGCGAGGATCGGAGAGGCAAAACCCGCCCCTACTCCGTCCCGTTGCCATGACTATTAATTAGATTGAGGGATGAAATAGATTTGAGGGGTGAAAAAGAATAAAAAATAAAAAATAAAATTATTTGAATTAAGAGAAAGATAGTAAAAAGTAAAAATAATAAAATAATAAAAAGATGATAATTAATAAGAGTGATGTGAATGATTAAAAAATTTAAAATAATTAAATAATTAAAATATATAAATTTAATATAAATTAATAAAAAAATTAAATTCACATATGATTTAATATAAATTAATTATTTAATAAATTAGTAAAATTAAAATTAAGTTATATACAATTAAAAATATTTTTTTGATATTTTTTGAATATATTGTATTTTATATTTTTTATAATAACTTATAAATACTATTAAATTGTAAAAATATTTTTAAAATACAATGTAAATTTATATATTTTAACATTAATTTAAAACTTAATAAAATAATATAAATATTATAAAATTTATTAATCAAAAATATCAATTTATTATATACTTTTAAAAATAAAAATTATATCATTAAAATATTGATTTCACATATTTCATCTAATAATTAATAATTTTTTAATCACATTATATATGTATATATTATAATAGTTATTATGTTGTATTTAAAATTATTATTTCAATATTATAAAAATATACTTTTATTAATATTTTACATAATATTATTTTAAAATAAGATTGATAAAATAATTATTAAAATTTGTTACTTTGACACGTAATTCATTATATTACATAATCCATATAATAAAATATATGCTTATACAATTTATTATGATTGACTTTTAATGGTAATTTTAACGTTTTGCAGTATTTTTTTTTAATATGGTTCCCATATATCTTTATCACCAAATCATCACAAATTGGTTGAAATAAAATAATAAATACATTTAAATATATCTCTTTATTTTCTCAATAACACTAAATTAATGAAAACAACTAACTATTTAACCTGTAATAACCTCAATCAACAAGTTCACGACCTATCTGCCAGCTAACTCTACATTGAATTGTGCATATTCAATGTCTATTAATCTGATAGTAAATTAATAGAAACAACTAACGATTTAACCTTTTTTTAGTAACCTAATCAACAAGTTCAAGACCTATATGATCTACCAACTGACATGTTTAGTGTCTAGGAAACATATAATCTGTTTAGTGTCTAAGAAACATATAATCTGATTAGTCATAAGCTGGTCCATTAGATTTAGGAACTGCACATAATACCATGTCCATATTACATTAGGCTATTATATGAAGTTGTTGAGTTATTAGATGTGAATTGCTTTTTTCTTTATGTATATGTACATTGTTTATATTGATTTTGATACATATAAGTAAAAATGGTGATTATTTATCGTAGAATAGTATATGTTAATGTAAATGTTATAAATGTTGGATTTTTTTACGGGAATTTATTAGGGAGAGACTATTCAATTAAGACATGAATTCAATTTACACAAGATATTAAAAATCACTTTTAACCCAAAAGTTTAAGACATTAGGTTATGAGTTTTTTTTTATATTGTTTAACTTTTTCATTTTTACTCAATGTAAGACTTAGACTCATTTAGATTTTCCAAAAATCTCCTCCTCAAATGTGAATCTTTTCACATTAATACATCCCCGAGTTCACTAGTGACTCTTACTAGTACTGTCATGCATCGTAACGGGACATGTTTGATACATGAAGCACTCTTAAATAGTCAGTCACCACATAAATTATCGACCCTAATACGACTGTTAAGTTTTTCGATGAGGGATTTGTTGGGGAAGATAACAAAAAATACATTAAGCAGAAACAAAATCCAAAATCTCTTTTCCCCTGTATTAATGATAGTTGACTTCAAAAATATCAAGTAATATATAAATTATAGTGTGCACCAAAAATAGAAAGTTAAGAAATAAGAAGACACCAAATTTTTAATATGGAAAAAAACTCAATGTGAAGGAAAAACTCATAGAATCTAGTTCAACAAAAACTTCCACTAATAATTAACAGGTGCAACACAAGTTCTCTTAGAGTCATCAAGGATTTACAGAATACTTTTTCTTCATCAATAAGGTGGATAACAAATAACCCTAACAAGTATCTAACAAGTAGAGAACAAAAAATTATAGAGTAATGATAATAATAGAACATATTCTCTAAGCTAACTTCTCTACATGACACTACTTTGAATAATACGTTATTTTTTTTTTCTTTCTCACTTGTAGGATATTGTTTTGAGCTTAACTTAAAGTGACTTGCAAGTGGAGTAGTAACAAATATAGATTTACCCATATTAAATCTTTTTAATACTTTCTCAATATATTTTTGTTGTAATAGTCATAATTTTTCATTCTTCCTATCACGAAAATTTTCATTCCAAGAATTTGTTTTACAAAACCCAAATCTTTCATTGCAAAGAACTTTTTCAATTTTCTTGAGGTTTTGAATCTCTTTTGAGAAATAATAAATTTTCCATCATAAAACTTTTTAACAAAAACACAATTATTAGAAAATACTTATGATCTATCATAAAGGAGTCAAACTTCTTATACCATTGTCTTTGAGCTTGTTTGAGTGCATACAAGTTCTTTCTTAGTTTGCAAACACGTTTCTCTTTACCTTTGACTTTGAAACCTTCAGGTTGCTTCATATAGATTTCTTCCTCCAAGTCACCATGAAAGAAGATTGTTTTCACATCAAAGTTGCTTAACTTCTAAAGTTAAACTTGTTGTCAAGCCAAATACAACTTTAATTGAAGACATTTTGATCACATGTGAACATATTTTTTCAAAATCAATACATTTCTTCTGACTAAATCCTTTTACAACCAACCTTGCTTTATATTTTTGCTGAGTTATTCTCCTCTGATTTCATTTTGAACACCCCTTTTTTAAGTGCTCTCTTGCCTTGAAGTAACTTCACAAACTTATGAGGTAGATAGTTTTTAGAAGGACAAATCCCTCTAATGGATCTTCTTAATTGTAGCTCCATAGGAGGTTTAGGAGGATTTGATTCAGTTGGTTTATTGATTTTAGTGTTAAATATGTTATATATATTATCCAAATTTGCATTCATATCTTCTCCATGATTAACAACACTAGTAGGAGGTTCAAGTTCAATATCAATGCACTTAAGAATAACATGTCTTGACTTTTCTTTATTTTCAATATCTTTAATGGTTTGATGTTGAAGAAAAACAACATCTCACCTTCTAATAATCATCTTATTAACCGAATTCCAAAATTTGTAACTAAAATCATCACGATCATAACCCAGAAAAATACATTGTTACATTGTTTGGACTTCCTATCAAGCTTAGATCTTTCATCTTTGGGGACGTGGACAAATGTCTTACAACTAAACATCCTCAAATAGTTATAAGAAACATATTTCCCTTTCCACACACTCTCAGGACATCACAAGTAAGAGAAATGGATGGAGATAGGTTGATTAAGTTCACTACATTTCTCAAGCCTCACCCTAAAAACATTTAGGAAACTTTGCATGAGAGAACATGTAACTGATTCTATCATTAATTGTATGGTTCATTCTTTCACAACTTCATTATGCTAAAGGGTCTTCGAAACTGTCTTCTCAAGCTTGATGTCGTGTTTCTTGCAACAGTGCTCAAAAGTACCTCTAAATTTATCATCATTATCTGCTTTAACATGTTTCAACAACTTGTCTGTTTCTTTTTTAACACTTGTATGAAAATGCTTGAACACATAAAATACCTCTTGATCTTTGAATTTCAATAATTATAATAACCATCTTTATCAAGTACCTATATTGTATATTAGGAATGTGTCTATCATTCTTCAAATGCAATTTGCATCCGATATTAGTCTTTATCCAAATATCTCCATGCTAACAACCTTGTTTACCCCTTGATTTTCCATTTTCACATGTCCAAAATCTCTAGCAGTGTAGAATGTGAAATATTCATGATGTGGTGTAACATGAAATGAGGCAACAGAATCAACAATCCATTCATACTCTTGACAAGTGAGATTAATAAATTCATCATCATAAATAATATCAATTTCACCATCAAATGCAACGATAATAATGTATTTATCTATATCTTCTCTCTTATTATTCTTGCCTTTATCTCTTAATCTTTATCGTTTGAGATGCCTACAATCTTCTTTTTTCCTGTATAAATGACAGTAGACTATGAAAATATCAAGCAATAGACAAATGATAGTGTGCACTAAAAATAGAAAGTCATGAAATAAGAAGACACCAATTTTTTTAATGTGGGAAAACCCTTAATGTGAAGGAAAAACTCACGGGACTTAATCTAACACAAACTTCCACTAATAATAATTAATATGTAAAACACAAGTTCTCTTTGAGTCAGCGAGGATCAACATAATGTTTTTTCTTCATTAATAAGGTGAATAACAAATAATCCTAATAAGTATATAACAAGACAAAAGAGAACAAAAAAATACAAAGTAAAAAAAAATAATAGAAACTCTTCTCCGAACTAACTTTTTCACACAAAGATATTTGGACAATACGTTCATTTTCTCTTCTCGTGATGACTTTTTCTTTATCCCACTAGATAGAGACACACTTTCCTATTTTTTGTGTATGTATTTTATTCTCTATTTTTCCCAAAGAAATCCAATGCAAATAAAGATAATCTTATAATAGATAAATAATCCAAAAAGAAAATTATTCTTATTCTTTTTAACTTAGTCAACATAAATGTAATAAATTGGTGACGCACGTGACAAGAAGTTTGAGAAGTTTGGAAAAAGATGATACATGCATCTTAGTCTTATTATGTGCATTCTCTTAGCCACATGATAGTTTTATCTACATTAAAAGATATATTAAAAAATAAATAATGGTAATAATAATAATAATAATTAATCTAACAAAATTTATCATGCATAATTATTTATGTGCCTTGGTTATCTTAATTTTATTCTTAATTATATGGTTACATAGATTTACTATTCTACACAAATTGATTGGAACATTAAAGTTGTTGGAAGTGTTTGTTTAATTAAATTTGCAAGTATTATATTTAGCTCTATATATGAATATTTAAAATGTTTTTTTTTCTTTTAACTTCTGTCATAATATTTTTCTTTTTAAATAATAGTGTTCTTTAATCAATGTTGTTTGGCATCGATCAAACTTTGCGACACAATCTAAAACTAAAATTAATGAACATGATGAACGTTTGGCAAGTGCACCAATCGTTAACGTAGTAATAAAATATCGTCCTCTAGGATTGAATTTGTTGAATACTAGATTCCTAATATACGTAAGTTTGAGCAATTGAAAAGTTGGATAAAAGAAAACAAACACAAAATTATAATAAGAACTTTAGTCAAAATAAGATCTGTTAGAGAATTGATTTCATATCATTTCCTATATAATTCCCGTCCTTTCAATTGATGCAAGAAATGTAATTATCCACTTGAGTTTACCCAGAGTTGTTTTACCCCTAATCCCTTAGTAGGCAAAACTATTCATTGAATCCGAACCCCCAATTCCTTAGGTCAGTTACGCCATTCAATAGAATCATTAAAAAACAATAATCTTCTCTATTGTAAACTAATTAGATATATGCCCAATTTCCCAATTGTGACAAACCCTAACCTGTTATATTTAGGATCGCGAACAACCTCCAATCTCCCAATTGTGAAACTGCTCGTGGAATGAACTTGAAAATTATAAATAGAACACTGAGATAAAGAACATGAACTAAACATCAATTGTCAAGAACAAAAATATAATTCAGAGTACTACATCAATCCTCTAACAACAGGAAAATCAGTTCTGCATAATGTAAAAATTGCTAAAAGATAATAACTAGAACGTAAAAAATTCTCGAATGGTTCTCCCCCCCTTTTCAGTTTCGTTCCACCTTCTTTATAGGGTGTCCCACGTTTTTTCTCCACTTGTTGAGGTAGTTACCACTTCTCATAACTGTCTTGAATTTCCACATGTTGTGGAAAAATCCAC